CAATTGGCTGAAGAGGGATATGGTCTCCCATCTGAAATGTATTGCAATAAAAGAGATTTTTAGAGGTTGATTAAGTTGTTATATCAGTTTTTTTAAAAAACCAAGACACGAGACATGACAAAATTGTTAATTGTTTTGGTTTACTATGTGGTTTTATTAGTCAAAAATTAAAAATACAGGTCATAAAATAAATCTGGTTTGAAGATTTATCAAACAGAGAAAAACATCCTCTTATTACCACTTTACAAATGGGAAGTACTCATGTATTTGTGTGTCACAAGTTTTGAGGCATTTTTTGGCACTTGGAGCAAGATTAATATTTTTGTGTTTCTGAGAAAAGCAAATATATAATAGCTCTTGAAACATCATTTATTTCATATGTGGGTTTGAAGGGTTTCCTTGTCAGATTATTATTGTTAAAATTGATGCATTCTCTAGAAATAGTTTTTGATATGATACCTACAATGATAGATGGAATGGTTTCTGGAATATTAACTTTGTTTTGATCAAATGTACAAAGACATCTAGCTATAATTTTATGATATCCTGCAAATAAAATGTTTTTAACTTGCTGATCAAAAAATTGAAGGGTTAATATACAAATTTACCTTTAAAAGTGAGTTTTTCCACCCACTTAAAAATAAAAGTCATCAGTCAAGACATCTTTTCATTTTTAATTTATGGCTGGCCATTTTGTTAAAATGAAATTTCAAGTCAAATTCTTTTATTTGTGGTGCCAGACATGCTAACATGAGAAAGAATGATCAGTAGTGCAGGGTCATATGTCATGGTTGGAAAGTAAAACCCCCATCCACCTCTGCTTATGATTTCATTACTCCAATTAAACGATTAGAATAAAATTATAATGATACTTTGCCACTTGTTGGAAAAGCATGTCTTGATGGTCTTAAGCTTACATATATATATGTATGTAATAGAAAGAAAAAAAAAACATTTTGACTTAAAGTGTTTTTTTTTTTTTACTTGGACTTTTCAACGATACTTATGATTTCATTACTCCAATTAAACGATTAGAATAAAATTATAATGATACTTTGCCACTTGTTGGAAAAGCATGTCTTGATGGTCTTAAGCTTACATATATATATGTATGTAATAGAAAGAAAAAAAAAAACATTTTGAATAAAGTGTTTTTTTTTTTTTACTTGGACTTTTCAACGATACATGTCATTTTTAAATGCAACCTCTTCTAACAGATTTTAGCATAGCATTTTGTCCACACAAAATTGCTTATTTGAGAACAAAAACTACAAAAAAAAAAACTCTTATAGACCTAAAAGGATGTCTACAAGAAACTTATATAATGGTCAGCATCTCTGATTGTCTCTCACAAGTCCTTTGTTTGACAAAATATTATAATTGTTTTTTTAGATATGCAAGTTCTTGAAAACATTTTGATATTAGTAACTTTGTGCCATTTAATTATGATTTAAACATTGTTAGAATAAAATTGATTCATCATCACTAATACATTATGTAGAAAAATATTTTTCCAGTTTTACAGACTACAGAAATATGTCAAGATGTAGCTAGTTTATGCAAATTTTGAGGGTAAAATTAAACTAGAAAAGGACAACCTTTTATAACATGCAATCACAAGTAATAAATACTATGCATGGAAAATTGCCATTGTTTATGAACATTTTTGACTAAATTGATTTACTTTGTTGTGCTCCTACAATATCCTCATGCTACATGCTATCCATTTGTGTAGAAATTCAGACAAAATATTTTCCCACTTATCAAAAGATCCACTCCGGATAATCATGGCAATTGCATTCAAATTTTTTTATTGTCACAGGATCATAAACAGTTTGCTTCTCTGATATAATGACATGCATGGTCTGGGACATGAGACCTTCAATTTTAATGTTTTCACACTGTTATTTTGTGCCTGAAAATACAGAAAAATGATTTTTCTGTGTTTATCACCTACTGAGAAACATCTCAGCCTCCCATCATTTATTTCCAGTTGAATTCCTTTCACATTAGCCCATGCTATCACAAAGTCTGAAGGTCTCACTAGAAGAACCCAGTCAAATACATTGTTCTATTCCTAATGTTTGGGAGTTCCACTAAAGTGGCATTTATATTATTTTATTAGCAATGAATTTCCATTTCCAATGCTTGTTGGTTTCACAGGACAAAGAAAAGTCATCAGGAAGTGGGTAGAAGCTATGCTAAGACCAGTAGCAAAAAAGCTTATAATGGGAAAAAAAATACCAGGTGAGGTCTGTCTGACCCAACTAAAATTTTCTGGGTTTGAGCATATCCAGTAGATATTGAAAAATGGATTAGATGAAACACCATTGAGCTGCTGTTGAACATGCAATGGCTTGAAAAAATCCTCTGTTGATGTCAAATTTCAGTCAGTATATGTAGAGTCCATTTACACATCCAGATTTTTCTTAGGTAATGTAAATACACACCCATGCAGAGTTATTTAGAGATTATCAGGTATATAAATATGAGGGTAATTCCAAAAGTAAGGTTGCCTATTTTTTTAGAAATAGAAAGAAACATTTATTTTCAATAATGTTCATATGATTTTAAAGCTTGAACATTTATGTGAACCCGCAGATTTTTACAGGCTTCTTAAAAATTTAAATTTTCTATTAATTGAAAATATCTGCAGAAAAAATCCGAGGAATTTGAACTAGATCAGATGTCACCGATTGTACTAACAACTAGATGGGAAAGTTTACAAAGTTTAAGAATGCACCGTCATCGTCAACAAAAATCAATCACGTGTCAGTTTTCCTACGCAAATGATATAAAAGCTCGAATCTCCGGAAGCTCAGGTCGATCTCTAGGAAGTTATACTTTTTGATGTGTGCATCTTGTCTCCCAGACCTCCATACAATGGACTCGACCCGACAAAAGGAGAAGATACCATATAGAAGACCATAGGAACTTCCACATAACACTTAATCGCCACATAGAGCTCTCTTTGAGGTAATTATTTGAACCCTCTCTCTCCCTAAGCGTATTTTTAGTTTAACCCTCAGAGGAAGGAGTATGTTAGCCGCATTTATTCTGAGTTGTATTTAACCGCATTTAACCTATATATTGTTATCGCTTTATGTATCATAGCTTAGCCCTTCAATTTATTATTTTGTTGAACCTGTTTCCTGTCATTTAAGGACACCTGTCAGCTTCCTCACCCACTCGATTTGCCCTCCTAGCCATCCAATGACCCTGAGATCGGGTTTTACCAGCCTGTGCAGAGTAAGTGGTCATTTGGGGATTAACCAGTGACCCACTGCTAATCTCACATTTATCTATTTTTCTACATAATCACCATTTCAGTTGATGCATTTTTGTATGCCCATGTCACCAGCTTGCCGCTGTGTCGTGTTAAACCGATTGAAATTCATCACTAATTGACGAAATGTATGGCATGTCATGCATAGATGTCAAAAACGTACTCAAGTGGTGTAGGGAGTTTGCAGCACATCGTACTGAAATTCATGATAAAGAAAGAAGTGGGAGACAGTCGCAAAGGTTGAGCAAACCATGTGTGAAGATCGGGGAATCACTCTGGATGATCTCTGCATTTTGGTTCTTGGAGTTTCCTGAAGCACCATTCATAGGATTTTAACAGAAAAGTTGCAATATCGGAAGGTGTGCGCAAGATGGGTCCCGTGACATGGTGGCGAGCTGGTATGACATGGGCATACAAAATCTGTTACAGTGCCTACAAAAATGCATCAACCAAAATGGCGATTATGTAGAAAAATAGATAAATGTTCAAGCTTTAAAATGATATGAACATTATTGAAAATAAACATTTCTTCCTATTTTTAAAAAATAGGAGACCTTACTTTTGGGATTACCCACATAATTTGTGGACATTGGTTAAGATACAAAAACACTAGAATTAATATTATTTTTCTGAAGTTTGCATTAGTTTCATGGGAGGAATTTAATACTAGAGATATAATATGTACAGTACGTAATCATCATTACATTTTTTGTACACGCAGCTAGCTATGCTATAATTTTATATTTGACTCAAATATTTTCTGTAAAATATACTGTGTGATCCATTTGGAATGTTTAGTAGCCTGTAATTGATTACTTTGTGTTGAAAGGTTGTCAATTTTGGTGTGGTATATAAAATGGAAGAGTATTACTCATGTCTAGGGAGAGTTCTGACAAGTTTAAGAGTGTTACTATACTCCATTATGAAAGGTTATTAGAATTTCCTGCAAGTCAGTCTGATTTTGCCTCACACATCAGGAGGAAGTGTATGTGTCAATACATGAAGATGTTTCCACAGCACATTATGTATGTGACAGAGGAAACAACAATCAGTGGGTTTTCTCTGAGAGAATGAACACACCCAATGCTANAGAGGGAGAAGGGAAATGATACTAAAACTTAACTTACATAACATAATGTAACAATAACTTAGAAAAGATAAAAAATTATTGTTGTTTTATATATATATATATATTTTAAATTTCTATTCACGGCTTTTTGCTTTCTTTCCTTCACTTCCACCAACACTTTCACTGGATAGAGGTTGCTTGGTAAAATATCTATCCAAAGAAGTTTGGCTTTGCCTACTTTTTAAAATGTTTCTAAGATGACTTAGGCAAATGTCATTACTCTGAGCAGCAATATGGCTAGTGTGAACCTTTTTGGGATGTTTCTTTTCAATAAAATCAGTCACTTTCTGATAATACCTCAAGATTTCCTTTATCGAGCGAATTCCTTCCATGAGGAAGCAAACACACGGACTGAGACCAATGAACAGAAATGAATAAAAAAATGGTGCTGTGAACTAATGTAACGTCATATAGTGAGTTTTTGTTCGTATCGTGGAGCAAAAATATGTTCGAATTTCATGTTGTATCCTGAAAATTTCATATGTTGGGACGTTTGTATCCTGAGACCACTGTACTTATGTTTAAAATTTTATTAGAATGCTTTATTGTTCAAATAATAGCAACTATTTACTATTCAAATAATAACTAACTTCATATAAAAGTAGAAAATTTAAACTTTACCTCCTACTTGCAAATGTCTTCCTCTAGGTAAATATCCATTTTGTTTTTCCCATGTTATATTTGGAATGGGAAAACCTTGCACCACACATTCTAGTGTCACGTTACTTCCCATAATGACATTTGTCTGATTTATGGGATTCATTAGGAAAGAGGAACGTTTATTTTCTTTTTCTTCTGTAAATTTAAATTCACAAATATCAATTAAATTTACTCATTCAGTATGTTTGCTGTTTATGAGAGAGATTAATAGGACTCGATTATATATAATCAATTTCTACTAGAAAATTTCTCATGTTTTTAGAATGATGAATTAACAATAATCTGTTAATTTCAGATTTTAGAAAAATTTTTCAATTGTTTCAATTTTGCATATGCCTAAAATTTTACAGTATTTACATCTATATTTTAGACATATATGCATTCTTCCAAGATTAAAAAAAAGGCCTTGTTAAATATAAAATTCAAATTTTAGAAAAATTCATATTTTTTCATGATCAACATCAGCTATTGTAAAATGAACAGCTAGTGTGAATAATCTTAAGACAGTTTTTGAACATTGTGAACTTGGCATTGATTATCCATTTGTTGTCTTTTTCAGCAAGTTATCTGCTGTTACAACAAGCTGGAGTATTTGTCATACAACAATTAGTTTAGTGATAATTTTTGCATGAAGTTAGGCATTTTTGGTTAGTGACTTTTTGACATGGATTCCATGAAAGATGATTGTAACCAAAATTTATGGTCAATTTATGGTTAATTTATATGCTATTTATGGTGAAAATGATTGTTTGTATCCAACATAAGTTGAAATCATTGATTTCAAGACAGATGGCCAAGTTTGAAAGATTTCCATTAAGACTAGCTTTGTGAGCTCACAAATGAGCAAAACATAGTTGTTCAAAGACTTTGTTTAACTCTCATATTACAATAATGCTGATTAGTCCAGATTTAAATATATTGATTGGCAAGGTTAAAAAGTTTGCACAAAGTGAGTCTCCCACATGCTCACTGACTAACAGAAAGATCTGTTGCAATATGACTTATTGTTGTTACTAGAAAATGAGAAAAAGTTAATTTTATTATTAGACAAACCCCAAGACAGCTGACAACTGTATTTGAATTGCCAAAAATGAGTCTCATTCTCAAATTCCTTGTCATTTATTCTGATCTAAATAGATTAGCCTCATAAAACATTGAAAAAAAGCATTATTTGTAATAAGATAATGATGCAGTTCTGTAATTTCTTATTTACTCAGCAGACCTTGCATTTTTTCATCAAAGAAAAAAAGCTTTTTGGAAAGCCATTTTCAAAGGTGCAAGATCTGAAATATTTTTCAATGATTGAAGTTTTTTAACAGGACAAAAGAACAAAAATACATCCCCAAAAGAGTATAGAGTAGTTTCAATAACTGGCTCACAATGCTGCAATACTGTACACAATGCCAAGGAAATATTTTAAAGAACATAAAAAAATTTTATCAAAATATCTTAAAAATTTTTGGATATATTAAATGAAAGAACTTTTAATAATGCATCTTAACCGATTGAAGTTAAAAAAATAATAACAACTAATTATATAAAAATATTTTTTATATTTACCTATCACAGAAAGTACAGTTTGATGTTTTCCCATTCTTTTTTCATTCAGAAAAGGATTAATTACATCACAGCGATATGAACCAGAATCATTTGCCTGAACTCCAAAAATCTGTAGATTACCTGAAGGCATCAGATGATATCGTTCTGTAAATAAAAAATTTCTCTAAGCATTAATTTAATGTAAAAATTGTATGAAAATACAATTGTTAAATATCAATACTTTTTACATTTAACTATCTTTATTTACATCTATGTTTTAGACATACATGCATTCTTCAAAGATTAAAAAAAAAGGGGGGAGCCTTGTTAAATATAAAATCCAAATTTAAGAAAAATAATTAGCATTTGAACCAATATTCTTGTTATTTCTAATTTTAACTTTATGACAATAAATCAACTAAGCTGAATCTCATATGCAATGATTATTGGTGCCAGGAGCATGCCATTTAATGACACCAAAAACTATACTCACTGTATACTCTTACTGGCATAATGATTATTGGCACTAGTCAAGTGGCATCACCTAAATTTCCACATGCAAATAAACAGATATCAGTCAATTGGCACCAATAATTATTGCACATAGAAAAACTGTAAAAATATTAATGTAAATCTAGGTTTCTAATTTTATCATAATGTGTAGTGTTTTTTTTTTATAAAATGTTATAAATTACAAATGGTTGTATTTATTACCTGTTGATCTACTGATAACAGTGTCTTGAAAGTGAAATTCAGTGACTGCAATTGGCACACTGGGTGGAGGAAGGCATGGAATGACTGCTGTATTCCCTCTCACAATTTCCATATTGATGTCATTTTGAGGAGGAAATGGATCTAGTTCTGAATACACACAATAGAAACATTAATAAGTAATTTTACATTAAAATATAAAATTTATCACAAGTAAACTTACTTCCAATTATGAGACTGGCAGGCAGACTAAGTAAAGCTCTTTTCTTATGATGAGCTAGACACTGAATTTTGCTATTATCATAAAGATCGATCTCTTCTCTGTTTTTCTTTGGTAGATTTACAACTAATTTATGATGACCTACATTGAATCCACCCTCCGATTCCTGAGTCAGAGGTTCGCCGTTCCACAGCCAAGTTATGACTGCGGAGGGCGGAGAGGCCGAGCAACGGAAGACCACCCTGCCGTCACGCGGCGTCACCATGACCGTTAAAGGTTCCGACTGAAATTCCAGATCCAAGAAATCTGAGAAACAATTTTACAAAATGAATTTTTTAGATTATCTGTTGACCAATGTGTATATTTAAAAAATATATATACAAAGAAAAATAAATAAATAGAATATTTGAAACTTACACAGTGGAAAGTTAATATTTAGTACTTACTGGAATAAACACATCTCACTGATGATAAATTAAGAAATAACCAAAACATTAAAATAACATAGTTTTCCTTCATTTTTACAAGCAGTTGTACAGACTATTTCTTAAAAATATTCATTTTCACCTAAAAAATATACAACATTAAATCAATAACATTATGAAATTTAAAGACTTGAATTATCTCTATGTTTAAAATGAAATTTTTACAATAATAAAATGTTTTGTGTGTTGTGTTGTATTTTATCATACAGCATACATATACATATACATGCACATACTATATTTCTTTAAAGTTAAAATTCTACATACGCAGATAGTTTCGGCAAATTTAATTCAAATAACAAAAGATTTTGATAAATATTGCAATAAACTACTGATATTATACTTCCCTAGTGGACACCAGACCATTTTGAGATATTGCAAAGAAATGATCAAAATCATTTTTTTTTAACACAACTTCTGCAACATACTTGATACAATACAGTATTGAAAATACTTGCTAATTTCCTCTATTTCATTAACATTATTATATTGAAAATTATATGGCTACGTTCACAATGTCATAATTATATCATTAAGCAATATGCAGTATTTTAATTTTATATTGTTAAAACTGTAAACAGCACAAGAAAATAATGTATAAAGATGTATTTTATTCTAATAAAACTAAAAAAGTTAGTATTTTTCATTATAGTGTAGAGAGACAAGAAATATTTTTACAAAACAGGGAGACTGCTCTTGAAAAAGTTTGAGAACAATAAATTAAGTAATATTGAAAAAATTATTCATTCCACATTTTGTATGATTTCAAATATTTTAAAAAATAAAATCATATTTTTGGCTAAAACAAAGATGGGAAAAAATTAAATTGTCTAGCTATATGTAAAAATACTTCTATTATATCCTAATTCTAATGAAAAAAGAAATTAAATTATCATAAATATTTAATAATACAATAATCAAAATTTTTAAGCCTTTTTAATAATCATTACTACTTTTTAGAGAATTATAGAAAAAATATCAATACATGATAAATTTTCAAACAGAAAAATTAATTAATTAATTTGTGCTATGAATATAACCAAATATTAATCCATCAATCACATATTCCATTAACATACATATTGAATTATTCATAATTTTAATAAATTATGAATAATTCAATATGTATGTTGAAATTACTTGAATTGTTTAAAAAAATTTTCGATAAATTGGATACTTTTACAGAATTTTGAAATCTGCAACACAGATGCAAATACTTTTAAAACCAGAATACGACTACCTTTATGGTACAGTAGAAGTTTATTTCTCAAAAGTTTTTGGTCTTCTTTGGGAAATTTATAATTCAAAAACGAACAAAAGCATTAAGTTAATTTATTTGAGAATCACTTAATTTGAACACTAACCTTAGTGTTCAAATATTAAATTATCATGATGTATCAGAATCTATTCACAAAGATGCTGAAATACATTTCAGATTTTATTTTCCTTCAAATGCAATAAACATTTGATGCATAGAACAAAATTTTAATGTTAAATAATTTATAACTGTTAGGAAATTTTTAACATAAATCTGTGCCAGAGTATTAAACATTTAAGAAGTGGTGAAAAAAAAATAGATGATTGGATGACAGAAATGATATATCCATTCAGTCTGCTGTTCTGAGAGATCAAGGTTCAAATTCAGGTCAGAAACTTCAGAAGTTTTTTGTGGCCAGTCAGTCCTATTCACTCATTCAATTTATTTTGGGCTCTAAAACAGGATCTCTTTGTGCTCACAAAATGGAGAAAGTTAAAAATGAAAAAATTTATAAAAATCTAGTACAAAATTAAAATATTAATATAAAAAAACAAAATAATTTGCTTTGAATCTATAACTTCTCTGACTAAGAGAGTTCAATTTTAATCATTTCCAAGAATTCTTATCTTAATAACTTTTCATTCCAAGAATAAACTGAAAAAATAACATTTATGTTCGTTGGTCAAAATAAATAAAATTTCAAAAAACTTTTTGTTTTTATAAATATAAAACTAAGACAAAAATCTTGACTTTTATTTAAAAAATAGATTTAAATTATTTGACTTCTACAAAAGCTAAATGTTTTTAAAGTAACTGAATTTCATCTTCATAATGTAAGAAACTATATATATAATATATACTGTAAATATAATTTTTTAATTTTTAAAACATTCAATCTTTAATCATAAGCAACTAAAAACTATACTGTTTTAAACAAAAAAAATCATTTAATTACACAGTTAGCTACTTAGTTTTAAAAGGATCTTGCCAATTTGAGTAGAAAAAAATTTGATACCAATGGCTTTATTTATTAAAGAATCAAAAATTACCTAGCTATTTACCATAATGTTATTTATAATAAACTGATAATTCTTTGAATTCAGACTTTTTGGTTACTAAAATTCATAAATTGAATTTTTAATATTTAACAATGTTTAGTAAAATGTATTTATATTTTACTTCAAAAACTTTAACATTTTATATTAATTTTTATTTATTTATTTTAATCTGTTTAGTTATTATTATTATTTTCTTTTTGTTGTTTGCTTATTGCAAAATTTGTAACTAATTTTCATTCTTATTTATTTATGATTTTATGAATATTATGTATAATTTTACTTCAATTAAGTGTAGTTTTATAGTGAAACTATGTTATTGAATTTAAAAATATCCCATTTGATAAATAACATCATGGAAGCATATACTAAAAAATAGGATAATTTAAGAAATTACAAAAATAATTCCTTGTAGCTAATTTTATGATACTGTTAAATTTGATCACTTAAAAATATCAGACAAAAAATTTATCCTCCATAACAGTTTAATGCATAGTATAAGATACTAATTAAAAACTGAAAATAATTCAAAAGATCGTGAGATTTCTGTTATTTTACTGTTTTAACTATTAATATGACTCTAGTAGCAATAGCTTCATAATATATTAATTGGACCAGTAATGAATGTCATCATTTTCTGTCAAGTGGTCAATAATTAGATG